ATGTCATCGATGATGCATCGATGACGCATCGCTGACGCATCGGCGATGCATCGTTGCTGGGCAGGTAGGGGGAGTGATGTCGACCAGGAGACGGAGAGGGCGGAGGAGGAGGAGGAGGGTGATCGAGGAGGCGCGTTAGGATGAGGATGGTTGGGGCAGGGGGCTTGGGAGAGCTTGGGCGCGCGCGGCCGTTGCCACCCGCCGAGGCGGGGACGCCGACGCGGCGGCTCCTTGCCGAGGCAGCGTCGCCGATGCCAGGCGCGCAGCGCCGCGGGGCAGGGGCAGGGGCAGTCTGGTGGCCAACTCCTGCTCTCCATCTCCCTCCCTCGTCCTGCCCCTCAGTTGTATTCTCGTCGTCCTCCTCCACCTCTCTGCCCTCGTTTCCTTCGCTTTGCATGGGTGGGGGCAGGGTGATCAGGAGTAGTTGGAATATGATTGTCGAAGACGCCTACGGCGAATCACCGCCGCCCCCTGCCCTTTCGGAAGCGCCGATGCGGCCGACTGCTGCGGCCAGAGGTCTGCCGAGTTATTGGGCCATTCCCCGAATCGGTCTTTACAGCCTTCGGGGAACACGTGGGGGAGGACGGGGGGGAGACGAGAGATAGGAAGGGGGGGAATGGAGGAGGAGGTCTCTTGAGTGCCTTTTTGGCTACTCTGGGTTTATATTGGGCCACATGTGCGGTCTTGGAAGCATCTTGGGGGCCTCTTTGGATGCCTTGCGGCCTTCCTGTTCTGCTTGGCGCCGTCTGGGCTGGGTTGGGGGCCTCTCTGTGGCCTCACTTGGGTTTATCGTGGCCGTAGTGGACGCCAGCGTGGGCGTTTGGGAGATCTGCCGGGCCGTCTTGGGGCTGTCTTTGGGGCCGTTTTGGGGCTTTCTTGTGCCGTCTAGGGGCGTTCTTGGAGGCCTTTTGGATTGTTCTGGGGCGCTCTTGGAGGCTCATTGGGATGTCGCGGAGTTTTGGAAAGCCGAAAAGACGATATACACAAGATCTGTTCTGACCAATATGACATGAACGGTAATGGTCTCTCGGGGCGTTCTTGGAGAACGTCTTGGAGGCCTCGTTTCTATCTGGGGCTGTCTTTGAGGCGTCTTGGGCCGTCTTGGAGGCCATCTTGGGCGTCTTGGAGGCCTCTTGGGCCGTCTTGAGGCCCTCTTGGGGCCTTCTTGGGGGCCTCTTGGGCCGTCATGGGGCCATCTTGGAGGCCTCTTGGGTGCTGTTGGGGCGATGTTGGGGACCTCATGGGCCGTCTGGGACCGTCGGAGAGCTGAAAAGAAGAACATGCCAAAATCCTTCAAAAACCGGAGGAAAATCAATGATTTTAACCTAGTCGGGCCTTCCTGGAGGGCGTCTTGGAGGGCTCTTGGGCCGTCTTGGAGGCCTTTTGCCGGCCTTTTGGGCCGTCTGAGACCATCTTGAGGCCATCTTGGACCGTCTTGGGTGCATCTTGGAGCCATCTTACCCGTCTTGGAGGCCATCTTGGCCGTCTTGGAGGCATCTTGGAGGCCATCTTGGGCCATCTTGGCCGTCTTGGAGGCCATCTTGGGCGTCTTGGAGGCCTCTTGGGCCGTCTTGAGGCCCTCTTGGGGCCTTCTTGGGGGCCTCTTGGGCCGTCATGGTGCCATCTTGGAGGCCTCTTGGGTGCTGTTGGGGCGATGTTGGGGACCTCTTGGGCCGTCTTGGGCCGTCGGAGAGCTGAAAAGAAGAACATGCCAAAATCCTTGAACAACCTAAGGCAAATCAATGATTTTAACTTATTCGGGCCTTCCTGGAGGGCGTCTTGGAGGGCTCTTGGGCCGTCTTGGAGGCCTTTTGCGGGCCTTTTGGGCCGCTTGAGGCCATCTTGGGCCGTCTTGGGTGCATCTTGGAGCCATCTTACCCGTTTTGGAGGCCATCGTGGCCGTCTTGGAAGCATCTTGGAGGCCATCTTGGGCCATCTTGGCCGTCTTGGAGGCCATCTTGGGCCAAGTTGGGGCAACAAAGGCATTGACAGATGGATTTTCGGAAACTTGCGGGTGGCCGGCGGGACGGGCCGAAGCCCACTGGGGAGTCCGCCGCCCCCTGCTTGCAGGGGTGCGCGGCGTGCTGGATGTTTCAGGTTTTGGTTTTGGTTCTTTTTCTAAAAGAACTCCCCAGTGGGCTTCGGCCCGCCCCGCCGGCCACGCGTAAATTGACGAAAATCCGTCTGTCAATGCCCAAAAACGGCCGTTTCGCTCGGGACATCTTCAAAAAATCGCGAAGATGGCCCAAGATGGCCTCCAAGTCCGCGCGAGATGGTCCAAGACGGCCTCCAAAACGGCCCAAGAGAGTCCAAGACGGCCCAAGACGGCCCAAGAGGCCCCCCAGAGGCCTCCCAGACGGCCCAAGAGGCCTCCAAGAGGTCCTCCAGGAGAGTCCGAAGAGGCCAAAATCATTGATTGTCCTTTGGTTTTTGAAGGATTTTGGCATTTGCGCCTTTTCGGCTCTCCGACGGCTCAAGACGGCCCAAGAAGCCCCCAAGATCGCCCAAGAGGCCCCCAAGAGAGCCCCATGATGGCCCAAGTGGCCTCCAAGATGGCCCCCAGAGGGCCCCAAGAGGGCCCAAGAGGCCTCCAACGCGCCCAAGATGGCCTCCAAGACGCCCAAGATGGCCTCCAAGACGGCCCTGGAGCATTCCAAGCGGGCCCCAAGTCGGCCCATAGAGGCCCCCCAAACGGCTTCCGACGGCTTCAGACGTGCCAGGAACCCACCAAGATGGCCGAAGTTGGCTCGAAGCTGGCCCGAGACGGCCCAAAAAGCCCCAAAGATCGCCCAAAGCTTGCCCAAGAGGCCTCCAAGACGGCCAAGATGACCTTCAAGATGCCCACGTGTTCCCCGAAGGCTTTCCAAACCGATTCGGGGAACACGTGGTCCGATAGCTCGGCAGGTCTGGCCTCAACGTTCGGCCACATAGGCGCTTCCAAAAAGGCAGGGGGCGGCGGTGATTCGCCGTGGGCGTCTTCGATTCTTTTAGAAAAAGAACCAAAACCAAAATCTGAAACATCCAGCACGCCGTGCACCCCTGCAAGCAGGGGGCGGCGGATCCTACTGGCCTTCGGCCCATCCCGCCACCGCGCCTGGGCTGTCGGTCTGAGGCCTAATGTTTGTGTCGGGATCTCGTGGTTGGTCTCTCGGAAGCTTCGGGAAGGCAGTTTCGATGTATTTTGTGGGCTTCTTGGGGCTTCATGTGGGCCTCTTGGGTGAGCTTCGGGGATTTCTTGGGGGCCTCTGGGGCGCTTCCTGCGGCCTCTCCCTAGACATCGAGGGCGCGCCCACTCCGCGCCCAAGGGCGCCGTGGCGGATGAAAGCGAGAGCGGGGCAGCGACGCTGCGACAGCGGGGGCGGCGACGGGGGGGGGAGGGGGCAGGGGGAACGGGAAGGGGGGGGGAGGAGGGGGGAAGAGTAGAAGGATCGGAGGAGGGCATGGGAGGAGGAGGCGGAAGTGGAAGAGGACGAGGATTGGGACGGGGAGGAGGAGAGGGGCGGCAGAGAGTGGGCAGGCGGAGAAGGGGGAGGGAAGGCGAATATGATGACGAGGAGGAGGGAGGGGGGTGCACAAGGAGGAGGGTGGGGGAGGAAGAGGAGGTGGAGGAGGCGGATGACGAGGAAGAGGAGGGGATCGCCGCTTCCCCCCGCGCGGGCGCGCAGGCAACAAGGAGAGCGATGTGGTGCTGGTGGAAGAGAGCCTCGTCGACGCACCGCTCGCGGCGGCGCGCAGGAGGAGCCTGCGCCAGGCGCGCACTGACGCGATGCTCGAGTCCTCAGACACGGACTCGGGCTCGACGACGCAGGCGGATAGCCCCGCGCACGGCGGCCCACGCAGCGCGGCCTACCTCGCCGCAGGCGACGGGCCATCGGCTAGCGGCGGGCACGGAGAGCTCATCGGCGGCGACCCCGCCCGCGACGGTCCACGACAGCGTGAGCCCGCGCCGCCGAGCCAGCGCAGTCCTCCGCCCGACCGCCTGGACGAGTTCGCAGAAATCATGGAGAGGGCAGCCCGCGAGCAGGCGGGGCTCGCCGAGATGGGGCCCCAGGCCGCCGAGCCGTGCGCCGAGGGCGCGGCCGAGGAGGGGCCCGAGGCCGCCGAGCAGGACGGCGAGGACACTGACGACGCGCAGCTGTCCAAGCACACGGCGCCGGTCATCGAGAAGCGCAGCCGCAAGAAGAAGAGGAATAAGGCCAGATACGGGCGTCGCGATCCCAAGCCCGACCGCGCCGTCTGTCCGCCTACCCCCGCGCGCGGGGGCAGGCGTCCAGACGGGGGTCGGGCTCGAGGTCGGGGCGACCGCCTCGGGGAAGGCGAAGTCGGGGGACTCGGCGCCGCTGGCGGCTGCGGCTGAGGAGGCGAGGAGGCCCAAGAAGCGCAAGAAGAGGGCGAAGGCGGGGGCCCAGAAGCCGAAGCCACCTGAGGAGGCTGAGGGGGCCGAGGAGGCTGAGATGCGCCGGCCAGCTGAGGATGAGATCCAGACGCAAGCCCATCGGCCCGTCAGGCCGAGCAGGGCATCTTCGCAGCCGCCGAGGTCCTTCAGCGCCGCCGCCGCCGAGGAGCCGATGCCCGCGGGGGAGAAGGTGGGCATGCTGATGAAAGGCTATGCAGCGCTGAGGCGATCGACGCGACTGACGTCGGCTCCCTCGGCGGCACCTTCGGCGGCTCCATCGGCAGCTCCCTCGGTGGCTCCATCAATGAGGTCTGCGGCTCCATCGGCAGCTCCCAGCAGTGCTCCGCGAACGCCAGCGCTGCAGATCGGCACCGCGAGGGCCGTGAGGGGGGGGGGGTCTGACGGGCAAGTGGAGACTGGGAGGTGAGAGGAGGAGGTGGCGGAGGATGACGTGGGGAAGGATGAGGAGGAGGTGGAGGAGAATAAGAGAGGGCGACGGAGACGATGAGGGGATTGGGCAAGGGAGGGGGGGAGGAAAGAGGGGGGGGGATGAGGAGGAGACATGGGGGGGGGGCGGAGCACGGCCCACGGCCTTGCAGGACAGCCGATGCGCCCGTGAAGAACGCGGCCTCGCAGATCCAGGAGGAGCTCATAGGTCGCGTGCAGGGGCTCTGCAATACCAACAAGGCGAAGTTCCAACCTGGCCACGACGCGACGAGCGGCGCGAGTGGCGCCCCTGCGGAGCTCACGCCGATGCAGAAGAAGTACTTGACGGGCGACCTCCAGGCCAAGAAGTGCTACGAGGAGGAGAACTGCAAATTCAGCATGAAGTCGGCACTGGGGCAGCGGCTGCAGCGGGAGCTCGCGACCAACAAGAAGCTCAAGGCGGAGTACAACGAGACCAATGACGTGGTGGCATGGAAGGCGAAGTGGGTCAAGACGCAGTACGATGGCGCCGTCAAGCGGCTCAGGACGACAACGACCCAGAGTGATGACCCATGGATTCGCAAGGGCAAGGTCGTCTCGTTCATGAGGATGTGCTACGAGGAGGGGGGGCCTCGCGGCCAGTACGACGAGGAGGCGACTAAGAACTGCCAGTTGACGGCCGAGAGGTGCATCGCGATGGGGTACCCGTTCGTCCGCATCGACGACCAGAACGACTCCGTCAAGTTCATGTGGTTCGAGGCGCAGTACGTGGAGAAGTTCACCAGGCGCTGGGCGGAGACTGCGACGCAGAAGGAGATCGACGAGCCTGGCGACGCGGGCGCTGGCGGCGACGAGGACAGCAATGCTGACGAGGGCCCGCCGCCAGAGGACCTTGCACCAGTGGCGCCGCCTGTGAAGAAGGAGAAGGCAGTGGCAGTGGTTCGGCCCACGGAGGCCCGCAAGACGATCATCGCCGCACAGAGCACGACTGCAAGCGCCAAGTCGATGATCGAGACCATCAAGGAACACGAGTCTGACGACGAGGCTGAATACGCGTGGGCGAGAACGCCAGCGACCCTGGGGAAGATCACCGCCGAGGAGGAAAAGCTGGACGACCTGGTGAAGCAAAACAAGATCTTCAAGGGGCTGTACCTCGGCGTGGAGTTCTCCAAGGTCTGCGACGCGTTGAAAATGAGGAGAAGGATGAGGAGAGCGAGAAGGAGGACGGGGAGATTGAGGGAGGAGAGTGAGAGGGAGGATGGGGAGATTGAGAAGGGAAATGGAGAGAGTCATGATGATGAAGGGGGTGCGCCTAGATGACCAGAGTCTCGAGGTGGATCCAGCCGTGGCGACGAGGAGGCCCCTGGAGGCCCACAAATGGCGAAAAACACCACAGTCATCGATGAGCTCATCGGTGACGTCATCGATGACGCCATCGCGTCGTCATCGATGTCGTCATCGATGACGCATCGATGACGTCATCGATGCCGCATCGACGACGTCACCAATGACCGCCAGGGCGCGCCCTCCGGCCCCCGAGGTCAGGAAGAACCACGCAGAGACTGAGATCGAGGTGGCGTGCGAGCCTAGCAAGGTGAAGGAGGTGAAGGACTGCAGCTCGCTTGCGGGGCGGGGGGATGGGCGGCGGCGGCGACGACGACGGTTGAGGACCTGACGACGACGCACAAACGCCATTACCACGACGATCGACGACGACTGCGACGGCCGTGGGCCCTCGATCCCCCTCAGGCCTTTACCTTCTCTCCAGCAACCTTAAGTATTGTTGTCATCACGCCTGCCTCGAGATTTACGTCCCCGCCCTTGCCCCTTTGCGCCGCGACCCCTCTTAGACGATCGACGCGCGCCGCGCGCGCAGGACATGTGCGACAAGCTGGACAACCTCTTGGCGGCCACGATCCAGTCCAACGAGATCCACAAGCACCAGGCGACCGGAGGCAAGGCGCCAACCCCTGCCAAAGCCAAGAGGAGTGGCGAGAAGGGGGGCAAGAAGCCTCCCAAGAAAAAGCCCAAACAGTAATTTCACCCCGATGCACAGAGTGTTGCGCCGCTGCGACGGGGATCTCCGGCGACGCGCTGCATCCCAGGGAGACGGGGCGATTGTGAGCCACGTAGTCGGGGGGGTGGAGGGACGGGCCACTGAGGCAAACGCATGAAGGGGGACGACTGCTCACGTGCATCGCCCAGCACAATGTTTAAAGGCTGCGCCAGAGTAACGTGGTGCTCAAGCCAAGGGGGCAAACGCTTGAGCCCCGGCGACCTCCTGCGGGGGCTCTGGCGCGGCAGCGATCGTGCTGGGCGGGCCCATGTTGCCGAGGCAGCAGCGCCTGGCAGTGCGCTTGAGCGCGCTACTGCGGGGTTTCTTCAGATGCGCGAGATCGCGCATGCACGGCCGATGCTGCGCGGCGGGGCCCGAGCGACGAGGAGACATGTGAATGAATCGTGTTATTATTATTATTTTTTTGTTTCAGGGATTTTTCTTTGTTCTGGATGTTTTGACGAGGAGACCGTTTGTGTTTGGTTTGTTTTGGTTGCTTTCAGTTTTTTATTTGAATATATATTTTTTTGTTGCTGATTTTTTTTCGATTTCGACCGGTTGTCTGACCGATGACGGACCGATGACCTACCGATGACAGCGTCATCGATGACCGCACCGATGACGGGCGATCAAACAGTATATATATATATATGAAAACTACCGATGACGGGACCGATGACGATCGACTACACCGATGACGGACCGATGACCTACCGATGACCTACCGATGACGGTCGCCGAGGCCCTGTCGCGAGGCACGTTTTGCTTAGATTATGCAGGCGGCGGGTGTTGAGCGCTGCTGGATGGGCACGTTCGGCGTGCCATGCGTGCGACGTGCAGGGGGTCTGCGCATTTCCCCTCAACTCGTCGCCGCTCTGGTCCCTCCCCACTCCCTTCCTCATTCCCTGAATCCCTCGTCTGCTCCCGTATCTCGCCTCTCGACACACCCCCTGTCTGTCCCCTGCTAAGCAGAGAGGCGCTGGCGAGCGCCGAGTGGGAGGTGGAGGGACGAGGGCGGGGAATGGAGCATTGGGTGGGGGTTGGCGGAGACGAGGGCGAGGAAAGGGGGCGCGGCGGGAGAGGATAGGGGGGGCGAGGAAGGGGGGAAGGGCGGGGGGTGGAGAGGATGATGCATGAAGATTAGGATGAGTATAACATGATGTACTTCTGGGCGTGGCTGCTCAAGCGCCAACCATGTCGCACAGGCGCCGCGCTATATCTCCACCTGCGCCCGCCCATGTCCGAGCGGCGTCTGGGGGGGCTTTGCTTGGCGAGCTCCAGCGGCTCTTCTGCGTCGGTGAGCTCACGTCCAAGAGTTTCTGCGATATCAGCTACCGTGCCAGCAAAGCTGGCGCACTTGGCGACGTGAAGCGCTGGGGCCTCGCCCCCCAGCCACATTGGAACACAGGGCGCTATAGTCGACACATTGACAAGCAAATGCGTGACATCGGAGTCAACCAAGTTCAGTCTGTTGTCTTGGACGTGCCGTGCCAATCTCGCCAGACGCGCGCTCGTGCGAGCGTGCAGATCTCGGCGCGCCCGTTCCACGATCTGCTCAAGAACGAGGTGTCGATGCCGCTGGCCGAGTCCAGCATGCGGCGTCAGATGGCATCCATCGATTGGCCCCCTGTCGTCCGTGAACACCCCGTGGTGGCAAGCGCCGAGCAGGACGAACTCATCATACCAATAGGTATCTATGTTGACTCAGCCCAATACGGCGGTGCCGCAGGTGCGGGACGGACCAAATCTATATTGGTCATATCGGTCGTTAACATGATCACCAAACGACGCCACGTTGGAGTCGTGTTCCGCAAGCAGTTGGCCTGCCGATGTGGATGTAAGGGGAACTGCTCTTACTGGAGGTTGTTTACTTTCTTGAGGTGGTCGCTCGACGCTCTGGCAATTGGCAAGTATCCATGTACCACGTGGGATCACAGCCGCTGGCCTGATAAGGAGTCAGACAGACGTAGTCAAGGTGGTTCCTCGCTCGGCTTGAAGGCGGCGTGCTGCTACATCATGGCCGACTGGGAGGGGGTGGCCCAATTCTTCAACGTTCCCAACTGGAGCTCGGCGCTGCACTGCCGCCCCCTCTGCGACACGTCTTTGGAGAACATGCACTTATACAGGACTGCGCCTTTCGCCGCCCATGCGCCGTCGCACGCAGCGCAACGATGCGGACGCTAAGGCGGGCGGGCGGGTGATTGGGGCGGGGCGAGCGGGAGGCGGGGGGGGTGGATGAGTGGCGAAGGGGTGGAAGGGGCAGGGGAAGGCGAGGGAATGTTGGATGAGGTGGGGGACCGTCGGAAGATCAGTCTGCGCCGAGTCCGGCCGTCACTTCTGTCCTCCATCTTCTACTCCATCTCCTCCTCCACCTCCTCCTCTAGCTCCTCCTCCATCTCCTCCTGTCCTTCCCTCCTCCATCTTCTCTTGTTCCTCTCTCTCTCCTCCGACGTATGGTCGTGATGCCGCTGTCGCAAGCCAGCGGCGCCAGCCTTCTTGTTGATGAAGACGAGCGGCCCTGGAACGATCACGAGGAGGGCGATCACCTGGACGCGTCGCGGCAGGCAGAGGTGTGGATCTACGTGGGATCAGACATAGAAAAGGCTAGGCTCTGGGAAGAAACCACGATGTTCTTTGATCGTCGGAGCGCAGGTCGGGGCCTAACTGTTGGAGCTGATACAACTGCACTCAATGATCGCAGCGCCCCCCTGAGAAAACACGACCGCCTAATTCCCCAGCCAGGGCTAGAGGATGTTGGACATTACGCCGTTGTAGACACGCCGTGCTGGCTAAAATTCTTGCGCCCCTCCAGAGCAGCGCTCACGACCTTGCCAAATCCAGTCTTTGAAGCAGGGGTCGGCTTGAGCATTGCAAAGAATTTTGGCGTGGATTTCCTCCACACGGTCGCGCTCGGCGTGATGCCATCTATTGTCTGTGCAATTATGTGGGCTTTGGTGCAGTCAGACGTGTTCGTCCCTCATGGGGCAAATCAGGAAACACGGTGGTCTATAGGGTTCAGCCGTCTAAGTGTGCTTCTGAACGGGTGGTACATGTCAGAGAAACTCCAGGGGCGACGTCTGAGTGAGATCGATACCGAGCTCTCTCCTAGCATGTTCGGGAAGCCACACAAGCAAGGCATCAAGCTAAAGGGTGCTGAGACAATTGATATGTTTCTTTTTTGCGCGAAGATTTTGATGCCAACTTTTTCAGGCCGCATTGTGCGTGGCGCAGGGCTTAAAAGGTGCGCCGACACGTTGCTCGAATGGCACGTGGAGCTCGCATCGTATCCAGACAGGCCCGATTCTCACCAATGCGATCGCATCGAGCACTTGGTACTTCGGCATTTGCTTCTGCTTAGGCGCGGAGGGGTCCCCAGGAAGCCGAAGCACCACCTATCCTACTGGCCTTCGGCCCATCCCGCCATCGTGCCTGGGCTGTCGGTCTGAGGCATCTTGTATATATGCGTGTTGGGATTTCTTGGCTGGCCTCTCGGAGGCCTCTAGGAGGCAGCTTTGAGGCCTCGCGGGGGCCGCGCCGAGGCTTCTCGGGGCTTCATTTCGGCCTCTGGGCAAAGGGCCGTGGCTCAGGGGATTTGGCAGAGGACCTGAGGACGCCGCGCGGCTCCGCGCCGAGAGGCATGGCGGCGGATTCTGGCACATGAATCGAAGGACTCGGGGTCGGGTGGTTGTTCCCTCTGGTCTTCCTCTTTCTGTCTGCCCTCTTCCCCTTCTCCCCCTCCCCCCCTCCCGCCATTCCCCCTCCTCCCCCTCCACCGTCATCCTTCCTCCCCCCCCTCCCCTCGTTTATTTCTCGGACCCCTTCCCGTCGCGCCGAGTCTCCTGGCGATGCATCGGCGGCGCGTCGGGCGATGCACCAGGCGACGCATCGGGCGATGCGTCGGCGACAGGGGGGGGGGGGGGGGGTAGAGAGCAAGCGGCGGGCGCGGCCTCGCATCGAGGGCGTCGAAGCGAGGTGCCCGGCGGTCAAGCGCGGGGGGGGGGGGGGGGAAGGGGGAATATGAGGAGATGGGGGTGGCGGGGGAGGAGGGGGGTGCGCGAGGGTGTGTGTGTGTGTGTGTGTGTGTGTGTGTGTGTGGTGTGTGTGTGTGTGTGTGTGTGTGTGTGTGTGTGTGTGTGTGTGTGTGTGTGTGTGTGTGTGTGTGTGTGTGTGTGTGTGTGTGTGTTGTGTGTGTGTGTGTGTGTGTGTGTGTGTGTGTGTGTGTGTGTGTGTGTGTGTGTGTGTGTGTGTGTGTGTGTGTGTGTGTGCGTGCGTGTGTGTGTGTGTGGTTGGGGGTGGGGGGGGGGGGGAGAAGGATGATTTGGCGGAGTAGGGGGGGGGGGGGGGGACGCGCGAGGATCGATCAGGAAGGGCAGCAGGATGAAGACGAGGAATGAGGAGCGGAAGGAGGGCATCACTTCCTGCCTTTCTCATCCCACCCCTCCCTCTCGATCGGCCTGCGCCCTCCACTACCCCGCGCTGCTCATGGCAATGCATCGGCGATGCGTCATCGATGCATCGGCGATGCGTCATCAATGCGTGCGCCGATGCATCAGACGTCTGGGCCGATGCATCGACGATGCGTCATCGATGCGTCATTGATGCCGTCGTCGATGCCGTTGCCGACGTGTCAGCGACGCATCGCCGACTCGTGGGCAGGAGTAGAGAGAGAGAGAGAGAGAGAGAGAGAGAGAGAGAGAGAGAGAGAGAGAGAGAGAGAGAGAGAGAGAGAGAGAGAGAGAGAGAGAGAGAGAGAGAGAGAGAGAGAGAGAGAGAGAGAGAGAGAGAGAGAGAGAGAGAGAGAGAGAGAGAGAGAGAGAGAGAGAGAGATCGGACAAGTAGGCGGACCAGGGTCCGTCCGCGAGGCGCACTGCGGTGCGACAACCCGCAAAACACTATTAGCGGCGGTGCAGCCTTAAGATACGAGGGCGGGCGACAGGCCCCCTCCCCCGGCGCAATGCGTCTGAAGTAAAAGACGGCGGACA